CACACACACACACACACACACACACACACACACACACACACACACACGAGGAAAGCCAGACTCATACTGTTTCTCTGTTAAAAGTCTCAGTTGTGGTTGTAAAGTGAATGTGCACTGTTAGCAACTCAAATGATGAGGGGGACAGGATGAGTCATGAAATGAGGCTGGATTAAATGGGTATTTTCTGACAAATTTCATCAAAGCAGACTCATACATTGGGAACCTAAATGGCAGCACTGGAAATTGGACTTTCCAGAATCCATGTAACCCAAAACACACTCAACTCTGCCAGCCTGGCCCATGATGTTTCATACCAAATTCTACAATGAGAAATCTGAGCATTAGTCTTGCTCACTGTGCGTCTGGAAACAGTTTGATTGGATGTGTCAATGCTTTGGTTTTGTGGGTCCTAATTCTTGACCTGATCAGCATACAAATCCAACATCAACAAAAATGTATTTGGGCAAACAAGAGTGAGAAGGAGTCTCAGTTAGGTTGGGGCGCTCTTGGTCCTTCTGTCGCTTGCTCAGTCCAGCCAGCTGTCCATTTGTCTGTCCAATCAATCCAGCCATCTGTCCAGCCCCTTTGATCAAGAACTAAACGCTCTTCAGAACTTGTGGTCAGTTTATTATTCAATCTGTGGTTATTCATGAATAAGGATTACTACTAATGTTGGTCTGCTCTTGATTGTTCTTCAAGCTCTACCCTTCGGCAATAAAATGTGATTTCTGCTTTTCGTTTATTATGGATTATGGCTTGGAGGATTGTGACCATAATGGAATGTGCATGCATTTGCTCCCAATTTTACTAGAATTTTAACATTTTACACAAGATAACTGACAGACGCTTTTCCTTGATATTTGCTGTGGATTCTCATGTCCTCTAGAGGATTAAACCCTTGTGAGTTTGGTCGTATTTTGGCATTTTGGTACATTATCACAGCTCTAAGCATTCATGCTCCCAGAGGGAAGAACCATTTAGAGGAATCATTTGGAGAAACGGCGGGCAACTTACCTAAACAGAGAGTACATTTTGGACTTGCATTCACCTAGGCCTAGGGTATTGTAGGTATTGTGGAACATGGGGCTCTAGGTACTATACTATATACTATACTTGTACTATAATAACCCAGTACCAAGTAGTACTGAAACCTCTTCAGTCAAACAATACCTGCCTCAGTACCTACACCAGTGTATCTGTATGGTTTAGATTGCAGCCAATCACTGCAAGCATTCCCCCGTTTCAACGCGACAGGTGATTGGCCTGCCGGCAGTTACAACAACAAGATGCAGTATAGTGTGACGCCGTGGCGAGGTCAAGTTGAGTGCTGTGTATTTGACAGAGTTGGCAGTTTGGCAAAAATGGTCAAAAGGTTGGCTACTATACGCCTGTGGGGTCTGATATAAATAAATGTGGTGGTGGCATTTTACGCAACTAAATGCAACCATTCACATGATAGGTATCGAAATGAAGTAGAAGAAAAGGTATCAAATGAAGTACTCTGTTAGTATTGGTATCACTTGAGGGTGCTGGTATGGTAAAATTGTACCCAGCTCTAATGGGGCTTCAGTCACATTGCATAGAGATATTCTTCTATCCAAATACTATTGCCTTTTTTATTTCTCTTTAACTTCCACGCTTTCTTTTCCTCTCAGCTCTTATGTGCAGTGATGGTTGACATCTCAGCTCGGATTTTGACCACAACCAGCCCAGCTGACCAATTCATCCTCTCACCCCGCCACTATCAGCACACCGACCCAGACTCGGGCACCCACCTGGTCTGTGACAAGTGCCCGGCAGGCACCTACGTATCCATCCACTGCACCCCAGTGGCCGTGAGGGAGTGCAGCCGCTGCCCTGAAGGCACCTTCACACGGGGCGAGAACGGGATGCAGAAATGCCATCTCTGTCAAGCTCCATGTCCTGGAGGCTTCGTCGAGAAAGCCATCTGCACGCCCATCCAGGACAGACTCTGCACGTGTCCCCCCAACAGCTTTTGGTTGCGGGATGGCGGCACAGAGTGTAAGCCCCACTCACTGTGCCCACCAGGGACCAGGGTGAAAAGGCGGGGAAGTGAAACAGAGGACGTGCTCTGTAAGCCGTGCACCAAGGGAACTTTCTCAGATGTGGAGTCGAGGGTGGTGAAGTGTCGGACCCACACAGACTGCCAAGCTCATGGGCAGGTGCTGCTCACACCAGGGACAAAAGGGACAGATAATGTCTGTGGAGCCCCTTCTGCAGCCCCCTCTTCCTCTTTGTCTTCGCCTGTCTCCACAACCATCCTACTGGGGCCTGCACAGGCTGTGCTTGTAGAGGAACCCATGACTTCTTCATCCACTCCATCATCATCCATGACTGGACCTGCACATAAAGGTGAGAGACACTGATTGAAATCAAAAACTGTCTGTTTATGACTGCGTTTGATATGGCTTTTAAGATAGCTCATCAAAAAGTGCCGTGATGTCTACTTAGGCTACACCTTGTTGAGATGGGTTGATTTAGGCTAGTAAGAGCTGAAGTATGCATGTACTTTCCTCCTTAATTTAATTGGCATTCATGGTTAAACATTTTGAGTAACAGGCAAACATACTTTCTAGATGTGAGTGTAGAAAAGAAAATAGCACTCATTACAGGGCTGGAAGTCAGGATCAGCTTAGCTTAAAGGAGTGGAAGCATTATTACGCATTATTGCTGAATTTGCCAGTTAGACAGTGTGGGAATCCTAAAACGAAAGACATTTGTAGGCATGGAAACAAACTGGTGGCAGCTCCCTACCTCCGGAATGTTACTATTTCTTCCTCATTCACCCTCCTTTTTTCCTACTCCCTCCCTCCTTACTTTCCCCTCTCCCTTTTGTTTTTCTTGCTCTCTGTCCTCCCTCCCTCGCTATCCCTCTTACATCAGTCTTGTCTTAGTCAGTCATTTCTCAGAATCAACTATCTATAGCCAGTAAACCCCTTCTACAATGACAATGACCACAATTGTAGTGGACACAGCGCCTTGTCAGTAAATGTACATTTATCATGGCAGAAGGTGAAGAAACTGGTTTTGGTGAATGGAATTTTCAAAACAAATTTGTCTCATAGTATGTTGACACTTTTAATGAAGCGCAGATTTAAAAAAAGAAAAATGTAAATCTGTTGAAACATTTAAAAATGTCAAAGGCTCTCTCTATATATGCTATTCAGAGCATTAACATAGCAGCAAACAACTATTTGTTAAAGTTTCTCACAAAAAACTAATTTCACAAGAATACATTTGAGCACATCATGATCGCTTTACTGGCTGTCCTCCCAATTTCAACATAGATTTATTGTTCACTATGTAGAATTATCAGGTCAAATTTTCTGTCGTCCGACAAAGGTACACTAGTAGTCTCGAGTCCTGATGCCCGGTTCAGGGCACCATCACGTTTTCAGAATCTTCGACTTGGTTACCGAAGAATCAGTTCTCGTGACATCCCTGGAAGGGCAAGTGAGTGTGTCCCCCTGGCAGGCTCATGGCCGCCACTCTCCACTGCACCCATATGGCGGTTACAGCTGATAACGCCGTCCAGACCAACAATGTCATTGGTGTATTACTAGAAAAAGTTGACTTCTTGCTGCCAGCCAAAACAACAGCCCTAATTTGGGGATTAGACCCGCTTCTGTGTACCTGTCTGCTGATAAAAGGATGAGAGGGATTACCAGCCATCCAAGTGACAATCCTAAAAACAGTCAGCAGCGCATTCATGATTTAATGCCATTATACAACACCTATCCCTTTAGCAGCAGTACATGGACACATAGGGAGCAGCAGGGAGGTGATGGCGGCCACACCGATAATCAATAGCAGTTAATGATGCACTAATAGTGATTGACCATTACAGTTTGTTTCCATGTCTGAAAAACACTGACCCTGCTGTTGGGACAATCCTAATTGTACTTTTCCCATATCAACAGATTTGTTCGGCTGCGAATAGTTAGCCCATCCCAATCCTTTTTACGTTTTTTTCAAATTATTCCTGCACTGGAAGCCTAAATGTGATTACAATTGCCCTCGCTTAGGCTTAAACAAGGGGCAGACTGTGGGATGAGCAAATTCAGAGCTCATCTGCTGTGAGATTACAAGGTGGAGCACAGTTGTGCCTAAGTGTGGGGGAAGGAGTACAGCTGGATCGTACTTTGTTTAGGGAATACACCAAGATCTTTACTCAAATAAATACATGAAACAAACCAAAAGTATTGTACTTCCATCATGTTTTCTTATGTTTGACAGGAGCTCTCTTTATGTCTCACTGTGCCATCTTCTTCTGGAATGGTTAAATTGACTGGAGAATACCACCAGCTGTTTATCTTGAAGAACCAACTCCTAATATTGGCAAAACAGTAGTGGATGGAAAACTCATTAATTAACATTTTCTTTTGGCAATTCTCTGAAGTTCAGTTAAAACCTGCTGTACATTTGGATAGAAACCTGGCTATTGACAACCAACTAACTTGTAGTGAACGTGTTGCATCTGTCATCTGTTCTGTATGCAACTCAATTCCTTGTACATGTCATCTCTTGCCCGGACAGCTGTAAAATCCTTCTGGCAGCAGTAAGGATGCATTTGGTCCAAAATGTTCAAGTCACTAATGCCTATCTATAGAGTGACACCCACCTTTTTGTACTCCATCCATCATTTAGGTTTATTTGCCTTCTCATTCGCCACTATCAAGCAGTCAACGTCAAAAATATTGGTCTTCAGTTTGGTATACACTGGGTGGACACCCAAGGATGGAGGGTGTCAGCAGGGAAGCAGATGACCGAGATCACAGGGGGGGGCGGGTTATTCTTCCTTTTGTTTAAGTGTCAGATTGCTTGCGTGGATTAAAGTGTTAGGTTTCCCTTCCGTGATACCTTCTGTTTTCATTGTCTGGGTAAAGCAAATCTCTGATGTGAATTTCCTCACCCTCCCTTTCTTGTCTCCCATCTCTGCACTATCTGGTCTCTTGGCTCTCTCTGTTCTCTCTCATCTCTCTTCCTCTTACTTGCTCCATCTTCATCGTCGTCATCGATCCCTCTGTCTCTCATCACAGGCACCTACAGCCAGTCAGCAGCCATTCAACTGAGGGGAAAACCGGGTGGGGAAGACCACCGTGCAGAGGGGCTACTCCTCAGCCGGTCTGGCACTCCCACCCCACCAAATCGCGATCCCCCACGGATTCCACATCTCCCAGCTCCCAAGCAACACATAGACCTTGAGCACCAACGCGTGCAACCCAATTCTGACCCTGTAACAGGCCCCATCAAGAGTGCGGTGGAGGGTCTGGAGGGTGCAGAGGTAGTCAGGGTTGGTATCAGCAAGGTAGCCGGCCAGGGGAGTGGGGGTGGTGGAAGTGGGGTCTCCAGCTACTACAGGCCCACTCGCAGAGGGTCCCCAAAGCCGAGCACCCATGATCACTTTGACATCAACGAGCACCTCCCCTGGATGATAGTGCTGCTGCTCCTGCTGGTGCTGGTGGTGATTGTGATCTGCAGCGTGAAGCGGAGCTCTCGCGTGCTGAAGAAGGGCCCCATACAGGACCCTAGCAGCATCATAGAGAAGGCAATTCAGAAGAAAGCAGCTGCGCCTCCATCGCAGGTCAAAGAGAAATGGATCTACTACTCCAACGGACAGGGTAAGCCTGCTGTTTCTTTGATTTCAACAAGAGTGATTCCATTAAAAGAGTGTATGACGCTGCTATGGCATACAAACGGGTGACAAGTGAAAAGGGAAATCGAACATAAAGTGTCTTAGACCAGTGGTTCCCAACCACCGGGCCGCGGACTGGTACCGGGCCATGGATCATTTGGTACCGGGCCGCACAGAAAGAATAAATATTATATTATTTCCGTTTTATTGATTATCAGAGTCTGAAAGAAGTTTTATTTTGAAAAATGACCGGATTCTCTCGCAATTTCATCCGCCTGTGCCTCTTGACACATGTCAAGACGCTTGTCTCGGTCACGTGATACGTTACCTCAAAAATGAAGCTCACAAACTAGCAAAAATGAGTAAATAACTTTTGGAGAGCTTCTTTGCAAAGGGGAAAAGGCCACTAAGGAGACAGAAAAAGAGCCTACAACTTCCAGGAAAAAGAAAGCTTCATTTAACAGACAATATCAGGAGTCTAATTAAATATGAGGAGTCATTCTGATGCACCAAGCCCGCTCTGCAGAATATGTGGCGACAGAGGAAGATCAGCTGCTGGAGATTGTAAATGACGGTGGCCTTAAAAGTATGTTTGAGACAACAACTCTGCTGGTGTTTGGATTAAACTCAAGGCTGAATATCCTGAGATCGCCACTAAAGCACTGAAAACCATGCTTCCATTTCCAACATCCTCTTTGTGAAGCGGGATGTTCTGCAGTGACGGCAATCAAAACAAAATTACGGAGTAGACTGGACATAAAACACTTCGGGTGTCATTGTCTCCCATTACCCCCAGATGGGACCGTCTCATTGCAGAGAAACAAGCTCAGAGCTCCCACTTATTCAGCGTTATTGTGAGTCGTATTTATTTATGCATTTATATTTGTTTTCATGCCGATCGTATCATTTTATTTCGTCGTGTTTTTCCGCCACACCTTGAAGGCCGGTCCGTGAAAATATTGTCTTACATGAAACCGGTCCGTGGTGCAAAAAAGGTTGGGGACCTCTGTCTTAGACCACCACAAGCCTCTAGAACAGAATAGATTCAAAGGTTGTTTTTTCAATGGAGTGACGTATAAAGCTGTGCTAATCCACTGTATAGAGGATTCTATACTTTCCCTTCCACACTTTAGGACAATAAGTTAGATTTGGCTAAATTTGGAATCCATTGGCTAATTGTCTGATGACGATTTAGCCTCTGAAGTGCCATGGCCAATATTTTCAGGGGTTCTGGTTTAGCTGGACCAAAACTCCGTGCTGCGGTCTTTGTTTACATTCCGATAAGCAACTTGGGATGCGGGAATGGAGTTGGAGCTGAGAGACGACGTGTACGACTAGATTTTTGCACAGTTGGCCAGTTACCAAGCTAATTCAAAGTTATTGAAAAGAAAAATCGTCATCAACGGAACACATTGGCCCAAATTGCAATTCGGCCAATGTGTTCCGCCTATTTTGTGCTCTACACAGACTGTTTACCTGCAATTAACCCAATTGGTACTAATACTACTCGGACTACAAACGGAAACCAGAATGCTTCCTGTAACAAAATCTTGTCCCGTTGCCCACATATTCTGCATTCATAAGCAGATATCTGTTTATTGAGAATAGATCATGTTGGAACTTTACCTGAACAAACAGGTACTCAAAAGCACATTAACAGTATTTCGAAATAGAGTTTCTCATTTACATCTTAATGAAAATTCTTGACTCTGGTGTTCCAGGTGGTAGTATGAAATAAGATGCCGCAATGGATCTGACTGGAGTACACTGAGATGAATGAGCTGATAGCAACACATTCATCCCAGCGTCCACATCAATTGTCACAGTTTGTCCTATTTTTATATAAACTAGAACTCTATTTTAAAGGTCTTCATGTATGATTTTGTTGTAAAACATCTCACGTCTCAATAGCAACCATCTTTATGAGACTTCTACCAACCTGGTATCACTCCCAACTCATCATGTACCGACGGTTGGTCAGTGCCCCTGGGAGTCTAATGTCAATGCACTGGGCATTCAACTAACTCTACTGTAATACACCCACAGTGCATGACATGTTTATGACAATGTCAGCAGCATTATGACATCCCTGTTAATATGTAAGACATATGCCCTCAAAGAACGTGTCATAGCAGTAACCTGCCATGATGTTTTGTAATCTCAGGACTAGTGGTTCTACATGGTCTACATCCGCAGCTAACACGGTCCCATTCGGGTGTGGTGACACACATTTTGTTCTGCTCCCGAGCCGTGTAGAACCTTCAGTTGATGCCATCGAGCCACTGTGGGTTTCTGATCCAATCAATTGTGCCCCACAGCACATGGCGTGGAGGCCAGTGGTTACACAAGCAAGGACGTGACCCTGTTGTAGTACCACCCTGCTGTCACTACCATCTAACCCCAACACACACACCCAGGTTGCATCACTGCTCTCAGTTGTCCAATTTCATCTTGGTTTCTATTCCCTCTACTCACCTCTCTTGTTTTAACTCCTTGTTCTTAGTTGCTTCTCTCTTCCTTTGTCATTTCTTTGTACCTTTATTTCCACACATTTTTTCCACCTGTTTAGTTGTTTCGCTCAAATCTTGTTGTTTCTTCCTCTTATGTTTCACTCACTAAGCTTTATTTTTGACCTCTTCCTGTCTCCAGCTGTCTTACATCCTCTATTTGCCTCTTCTATGTGCCTCATTTAACTTCCTCTGTCTGATGCTTGTTTTGGAAATTTTGGATTTCACTTCTCTCTATATTACTACTGTTACACCCCCCCCCCCCCATACACTCCTCTACAGTGCCCGTCTGTTGACACTGTGGCTATCAACAGGTAGAGTACATTTTGTCCCACAGCTGAGCTCTAGATTTCAATCAGAGAGAAAGACCCAAACCCAGGGGACACCTCCTGCCTGAGACACTCGACTCTCCATTTTGAAACTCTGTGTGTGTGTGTGTGTGTGTGTGAGTGTTAAAGCCGAGCCACCCGCCACCCTCTCTCTGCTCCCTCAGTGCCTGGCCACAGAGAACTGGAATAATCTGGTTTCAGCTGCATCAGGGTTGTTGTTTGGTTGGCAAGGCACATTAGTGGGTCAAGCGGGTCTCTTACAGGACGACAAAGAGAGATATATAGACAGAAGGACATGGACAGAGAGTGAGAGAAATGGTGCAACACTGGTGTGCGTTTATGTTGGAAGCGTGAGTTGTGAGCTTGACAGTGGGAAATGTTGTATTGTACTGTTGCTGGCTAACCACACTGGGGTTTCCTTGTCATTACCTAGCAGCCCTTGTTGGCCCAGATACTGGAGATGCCTGACAAAGAGGTATGGATGTAAATAGAGACAAGTAACTTTGAAGAAGCTTCTTTGACACCATAAGAGATAAACTGCAGGTTTCCTCCAACCCATGAGCTGTGCTCTATGCATAACTTAAGTTTCTGTATGTTGAATGAAAATGCCAGAAGAACTACATTCCCTTAAAGCTGCACTGATTATTCTTATCTTAATAGTGGACAAAATGACTAAATTTGAAAGGGATCAACCCACAGAGAATTATCACTCAACTCTGCAGTTCCTCTCTGCTCAACAGAGCGTTTTAGCATCTCTCAGCTTATTGTTTTGGTTTTCCCTGCCCACAACTTTACTTGTCTTTTTTTTAAATTAATAATGAGATCAAACCCACAGCTCAAATACACAGACAAAGATAATGATACTCATGCTCATCACCTCATTCTTAGTACTGTTGTTGTTGAGAGAAATGTGCAACCCAGAGGATTTTTCCTGGGAAAGACTCAGTATTTGTTCCTTCAGGCTGCCACTATGGGTCAATAATTGTGGAAACATGTCGAGCTGAAACCCATTGCTGTGTAAGGATCAGTGCTGACGCCTTCATGGCATTTAAAGACCCGTTTTTAAACTGACCTTTCGGTGTGTCACATTTTTTCTCCTAATTGAATGAGTTATTCTGCGCCCATGTGAATGCATTTACGTGGAGATGTATGTATGCACATGCAACTCAAATAGCCATTTTACACCGCTGTTTACTCTCTGGAGCATAAAACAAAACAGCTTCTTAATCCTTCCAAGGTGCGTGACTGGCTCAACTTGAAGGTTGTAATGCCCCTTTACTAGAGCAGTTAAAATTCTCAGGCAATAAAGGAAAAAAAAAGAAAGGGAAACGTCAAAGCACAGATCACACACATACAGTACTTGGCGTTTGCTCTGAGCCGGGTCAGGAAGTAGTGAACACTGCTAGTCCTCCACCGCACGGCCGAATGGGGCTTTCCAGGGCCACGCGCCAGATTTGTATTGCGCAGGAACTGAACAACCTATTTGTTTATCTGGAACAAGGGCGCAGCAGTCTAATGAAACAAAAAGGAATCACAAGAATGTTGTATAAAGGTTACCCTGTGGTCCTACATTTTTTTCGTCTTCAAACAACTATGGTGCTTTTATGTAGCTATTTTGCGATACAACAGACGATCATGGCCACTTTTATCAGTGATCGGCCAGGTGTGCAGAGGAGAAAAAGGCAGGATTTGATCTGTCTTAACTTGTTTGTACAACCAAAGTATGCCACCGCAAATGCCTTCAGGGAGAGAGTGTGGACATTTATTTATCTTGTCAAAACACATTATTTGGAGTGAGAGCGAGGAGGTGATAAGACGCACCCAAGAGGAGGCTATGACCACAAGCGTTTTGCAGCGCCTTCGAGCGTGGCTGTACAGAACAGATACAAACAGATTGGCCCGAAGCAAAATTAACCTTACTGGTGGTTTTACATTTTTCAGTATGAGATTGGAATCAATACAGTAAACATTTTATCAGCCCTTTGTTTTGGTCAAAGTTACTTTTGGTGGCTTGGTAATGCAATTGCAAGCAGGAACGGTTTCGATAGCCCTTGTTGTTGGTGGAGGAATCAGAAACTTGAGAATTGGCTGCTTAGATTGTTAAAAACTAGAAGTTAAATAGTAAGTAAAGGTGTACATAACTGGAATTA